TTTTGGATAAGGGCACGTGATGTCGTTAATCCAGCTTTACTTGAGATTTGCATGCGCAATGACCACACAAACACGACAATCTATTTAATCTTATAATCTCAATAATAAGGATAATAATAATGGTAATAGTGCCACGTTGCAGTCTAAAAAGAATGGGTTTCAAAATTTATTTCATGCCCCTAAAATTTTCGTGCGTGTAATATGTTACAGACGTGTCCTTGTAATGTCGAAACATGCGACAGTTAGGGTGGCGAAATCCTAGAAAATAAAACACTTACATTTTGATTAGCAGGCATCTGTGACAATTTTTCCTGAATCACAGAACGAGTGATATAAAATAGTAAGAGATTATTTTACAAGATTAGATTCTTTCTTTTCCTTTTTCTTTATTTTTTTATATTTTTTTTCGACACTTGTGTCTCTAGTTATTTCATCTGTTCCTTCCCATGAGTTTTAAGATCAGTAAGGAAATATGAATTTCCAATTTTTTTAAGTTCGTGTTCAATTGCTTGCATTTTCACATGATTGGCAATTTTAAGGATTCCAATGCAGTCTTGATAAAAGCACTGCTAGCTTTTCTTGCCTCTCAAAAATATTTGTCTAAGCCCTTCAATGTACCAAACATATAACTAATAACTGTTCACGGAGGTAGAGGTGACAAGTGGTGGATAAAATTTGTTCAGGCAAAAGTCTCTTGTCTTCTACTTGAAATGTAACATTCACTTCCCAGATGGCTTTGAAAACTTAACTTCAGACCACGGCACTACATGTATTTTCTTCTTCTAATCGCTAATGTAAAGGTATAACTTAATTTTAAAATTCAGTAAATTCCAATTGGACAGAGGAAGACGGGCGCACTTCCTGAAGCTCCCCTCCGCCAGCCTAACTCTATTTTTCTTTCTTGCTACATATTTCATTTAAAAACATTGAAAAAAAATGAGGTTTTAGGTTTCCCCACGTAATCTTCGTTGACCAAGCAGACGAACTTCTTTCCTTTTTTAGACAGAAAAAAATCGTTGTTATTGCATTTTCGGTTTTCTGTGGTGTGAAAAGTTGAGTTGGATAGCATTGTTCGACTTCGTGATACAGTAAACACTTCCAGCATCGCTTTTAAATCACTGTTTAGAATGCTCATGTATACCTGTGTTCTCATTTTTATGTATTTTCCCCAATTCTTTGTGATCTAATCAACACACTTCAATGAATAACGCTGAAATCTGTATTTAGATCACAAGCTCTGATTTTTCTCATTAACAGAGTTGTTTGACGCAGTGGTAAATTGTAGTGAGGCTTATTTGTCTTTGCATGTCCTAAATGTAACTATTCTCTCCAATATTAGACTTCTTCTTGACCTTACCTGCTGCTCCCCAC